TTTCAATATTCAATATTTATAATTTCTAAAAAAGATATATATAATTTGATTAAAAGATAAATTTATATTTATCAACATTTAAAACATAAATCTTACTATAAATATTGTAAAAAAAATAAATCAATGTTTATATAATTAGAACAATACCTTGATATGATTTTTGATGTGCAAATGCCACATCCACTCGTAATTGTTTTGATTTTGAAAATTTTGATGTTAAAACTAGATTCTTTTCTTCTAATTTTAATCGTTTTGGAGTTGAATTTTCTAAGGAAATAGATTCTTCTGTTGAATTATATTCAGACTCGATATCTATAGTATCTATACTATTATTCTCTTTTAATTCTTGCATTTGTGCGTGCTAGAAAAAATATAATTATTTTATTATATATAAATTTTAATATGTAATAAAGTATCAAATATGTTGATTACACAATATATTGAATATATTTTAAGTAACATATTACATATATTTCAAATTGCGTGCATACAAATAATTTATTTCTTTACCAATTTTTCCATTATTCTTTTTTGTGACGATTTAGTTTTGTCAGAACCATTTAGGTTAATAGTTGGATGGTGTTTCTGAAGATGAGAACGTAAATTCGTTGTATTACCAGCACATTTTACTATTATGTTACAAAGTGTGCAAGTAGTGACTCCAGTAGGTGCTTTTATAAAATAATTCCAAACCTCGCTTCGGGATGCCACTGAATAAAATAAATTGAATGAAAATAAACTGAATAAAAAATTATTAATAAGAGTAAAAAAAAATTTAAATACTATTAATAATTTAAATATTATTAAAAATATACAGAGCAAATCACGAAAAGAAATTAATCGTTACAATTACAAAATCAATAATTAAATTTATTTTTTTCACTCATATAATTATGTTTTAGAAAAAAAGTACATGTAAATTTAATACACGATACGGGGTAAATTTATCAAAGGATAATATGGGAATGGAAAATGGAAATACTGGAAATTAATGAGTGCATACTGTTTTGGGTTGACAGGTTGACAGTTGACAATGACGACCGAGGTTAGGACGCCGCTTAAACTTAAACTTATACTACAAGCATCTTCTCTCATGCTTACATCTTGTCAGATTTATACTAAAAAATCATTCAAAAAAAATTTGTTGGATAAACACAATATAACAAAATGAAATAATGTAAACAAATAAATTTAGAAAACTGAAGTTGAAGTGAAGTTGCAGTATATTTTACACAAAACGTACCTTAGTCAAAACTTGATGTAAGGTAGGATGTAGTAGAATGGAATGGAAACTTTCGTCACTTTTCGTAATTTTTGGCTAATTCACAGCTGACTAGCACACAGTTAGACACAAATATCGATACTCAAAACTGTTATCGCGCATCACTAATACACACACTATACAGCATACGGTGGCGTGACGTAAGCACTATGCGCGTGGCGCTGGGTTAACGCTGCGCTGCCTTAGGTCGAAATCACAACGATACGGAAAATGGTTGTGAGTTGTGACAGAGTTGTGGAATTTTGAAATAGATGTCTGTTTGAATAGCGAATCTGTCATAAAAGAGCAGAAAAGGTAATATTGATCTGCGATATTGTATGTTATGATATCGATAAAAAATATATCGGCTTTGAAAATATCGAATATAATATCGATAATTTATTTAAAGAATTTTGATATTTATAAATATCGATAAATATCGCGCATCACTAAGTCGGTTTATATACTTGTACACACGGGGACAGGAATGTCTTCTCACATGAAGTTACGCGCGTCTCGTCGACATGTCAGGCATATCGGACATGCGTGCTTCACCTCTCAATATTCGTGCATTATAACTGTAGATAAACTGTAGATTCGAAAAACGGATACGTCAAACTATGTACTGTTAATTACATTTTCCCGCTCTGAGACGGTGTTGCCGTTTTTCGAATATCTACAGTTATAATGCACGAATATTGAGAAGTGAACCATGCGTGGTCCGGTATGCCTGACATGTCCGACGAGACGCGTGTAACTTCATGTGAGAAGGCATTCCTGTCCCCGTGTGTACATACGTAAAATAAAAATTGAAAGAATACGAATGGAGGTTAATGTATTTCGTACGTAGTTCGGAATAGTAAAAGTAATTAATTTCTATTTATTAAACATTAACAAAATCCTAGACAACACGCATGTCCAAAATCGGGACATAAGATGTCGAAAAGATGTCAAAAATGACATCTTTAAGACGTTCCGATTTTGGACATGCGTGCTGTCTGGGATGTAATAAATCGAAATTTATGTCTTCAATTTTTGACAGGAAATATTAAAGGATTCCGACGCATTTTTTGCATATTTGTGCAATCTAGTATTTCAGAAGAAGTTGTTGAAAAATTGAAAGGTAACAATTATTTATAAATATAAATTGTTCCCTCAAAGAATCATTATGTTTAAAGATTAATATGTTATAGATGAAGAAATCACTGTAAAATCTTTCATTGATCTCACAGAAGACGACTTAAGGAAATTAAATATTAAAACAGGTCCAAGGAAAGAACTTTTAAGGCTGTGTTGTGGGTCCAGAGAACCACAACCAATTATTTATTAATAAAATATAATTATATAAGAATATCTATTACATATCAATTTACGATATCAGATAAGAACGCTGACGATTCAGTGCGTTTCTGGCTCGTGCGAGACACCGGAGAATCGCGCAGCGTAAATCAAAACCCAATTCGTTCCTAACGCGAGAATGCTGACGAACTATCAAGAATCCGTCAGCAAGTTCGATCGAAAGACCTTCAAAACTGCAATCAATTGCAGTTTCGCGACTATAAAACCGCCGTCACGAAATCACGACGGCGGGTCGAAAACTAGCTTTTAAACGGAATGGACGTATGTCCGTCGGGATTACGAATTAAGAAGATCATAACCAATCGCCGAAACGAATAAGAGTAACTTGAGGCTTCGTGAAACTAAACTAAGACAAGGATTCCTGAACGGAACTTAGTTTATCTGTTAGCAAGAAAACTTATAATAAATCAAGAGACCAATAAATATATGGAAGATTGTTTTATTAAAAACAACTAAGAATTATTTCCCCGATTCCCGGCCTAACTCCTCGGCAGATCCCAAACCCGTGCCCTACTACCAAGGGCACAACAGCTGGTAACTGCAGTAAACGCAATAGTATGTAATTCAAACAATTATTTCAAATTTTGTTTGTTTACTTACAAGGAATGTTAGGCAACCCGGAAATTCAGAAAATTCTGCAATTTAGCGTGCAAGTAGAGTAGTTCATCCGTAATACAAAACTATTTTTTATTCGTGCCGTATTACACTTTGAGAGGGTGAATCATTCCTTGAAAAAAATTCAGATTTTTCTTTTTTTCGAAATAACTTCGGAACGATGAGAGATATCGAAAAAAAGTTTAAACAAAAGTTGTACCTCTTTTTTATGTCTACAAAACTGCGTACAGATAATTATCGAAAAATTCAAGTTTTTTGAGTTATTCCCACCACTACCCTTAAAATTGAGTTTTTGTACTTTGTAATTTTATGCAAAAATACTTCTCCATAACCTCTTTTCATACATCATAATCCATATATGTGTTCTATTTTTTAAAATAAATAAAAAAAAAATAAAAAGAATAAAAAAATTTCTATTGAATTTGAAGCCTGTTTTAACAGTTTTAATTATTAAAATATAGTCGCTAACATGTTTATTACGTTTGCAACATTAACCGACGTCATTTTAAAGAAAAGTGTATCAAGCAATGATCACTAACTTTTTCAATAGAATGGTGATTGCTTATAGTCGTAAATGACATTGAGAATAAGCTATTTCCTCGGGCATATTTATATTATATTATATTAATCAAAAAACGCGATTACATAACTTATTTACCGGTATAAATGGTCAAAGATTATCAGTTGCACTATTTTAATTCTTTGCGATAGTAGCCCAATCTTTGCTCGACAAACACTATCATTATCTTATTTAAAATTAAATTTAGATTCTCTTTAAAATTAAATTTTAAAGAGAAGTGTATCAAGCAATGATCATTAATTCAATTATTTTAGCAAGACAGTATATATATATATATATATATATATATATATATATATATATATATATATATATATATATATATATATATATGTACATATATGACAGTATATATATGTACTTACAACTACATGTTGTGTGTCGAAAGACCACAACGTAATAATTATAGGTTAATTAGGCAATAATAATAATAAACATTTAGAAGGCCATTAATCGAGGTTACTTCTCGAGAATCCTGTGACAAAAGTTATTTAATTATTAAACAATCAGGCGCTAACGCGAGCACTCGTTCTTAGAAGCCTGAGTGTCACTTGCGTCTAAAGTAGGTTAAACAGATCAGCATTTTGGTAACACAATGGATCGATATAGTTCAAGTCTCATTGTGTTCCGAATACTGATCCGTATAAATTAAGACGGCACATAAGGCGCCGCGGGTTATTAATCAGCAAGGTTCCGGACGAAGCACGACACGTCGCGTACACGCGTAACCACGGTAGTACGGTCGCCGAGTGAGTGAGGTGACAAGTGTAATAAGAAGATACCAAATAAAAGTTATTTAATCTATTTAAAGTGCATAATTATTCTAAACTCTCCGAGCCAAAGCCCCCTTGACCAGCACGGCGAATCCCGAATCTTTACGCAGCGCCTACCGCTACCGAAGTAGGCGCAACATACATAAAAAATAAAACTAATTAAAATTAATTAATGATGTACATATTATTTGAAATTTTATTAGACTATTTTACAAACCACATGATAAATAAGATAAAGATAGTGTTTTGTCGAGCAAAGATTAGACTACTATTGCAAAGAATTAAAATGCAATTGATAATCTTTGACCACCTATTCAATAAATAAGTTTATGTAATCGCGTCTTTTGATTAATATAAATATGTTCGAGGAAATAACTTGTTCCCAGTGTCATTAATGACTATAAGTAATCACCATTCTATTGAAAAAAGTTGGTGATCATTGCTTGATACATTTTTCATTAAAATGACGTCGGTTAATGTTGCAAACGTAATAAATATGTTAGCGACTACATTCCAAATTGCGAGTATAACACAGACACTTGTAACGCCGTTTGAAATTGAAATACATAATGAAATTCGTAACATGCTACAAAATTTTCAAAACGTACATTCCGTTTCATTATTTGAACATGATTACGTGCTTGATTTTGTCGAGCCATCAGACCCGCATGGAGCACAAATTGTAGAGTGCATTACAGTTGCAGAAGACGAAGAAGACAGTTTTGAACCTGAAGAATGCATTGTTGATGATGAAGGTGGAAAAGTCGATTTTAGTTATAAAAGGAAAGCTGTGGAGTTTTGGAAAAGTGGAAAAAGGGTACGTCGACCTTTTTCTAATGTACAGAGAAATTTTCGCAAGGTTAAATCCTTACAGCAGCTATACAGGTGGGAAGCGAGTGTAGAGAAAGGTGGAACAAATGCAAATAAATTTACATTTATTACGGAATATGTATTGCAAAAGTTTGAAGAAGCTTGTGATAGAAGATCCATTATTTACGATATTAATTTAAGATTATGGGCCTTGGAGGCAAAGGATCAAGTGGACTTATCCCAATTCAAAGCAAGTAAATGGTGGATTTGGAAATTCATGAAAGTGCATAGAATTGTTTTTCGCAAGATAACAACTTTCAGGACGCGATCTACGTTTCAAGATATTGATAATCTACAAAATATTGCAAAATTATTTGTTTCAAACGTAAGATCTGACATTCCATCTATCGGAGTTGAAGAAGTTTATAATGCAGACGAGAGTGGCTTCAACTTTGAAATACATTCCGGGCAAACATTGGCGAAATCAGGAGTGAAAACAATTGAAGCGACGGTTCAATCGTTATCTTCTACAACACATAGTTACACTATAATGCCTATTATTTCGGCAAGCGGACGTCTTCTTTCACCACTGTACATAGTTTTGAAGGAGTCTACAGGAACATTTGGTCCGAGGATGCAAGAAACTTTATTCCGTCCAGTTAACATTTACACCCAAGCTTCAAAATCAGGAAAACTCACATCTGAACATTTCAAAACTGGGTTCAGCGCAGTGTATCTACCGAATACTGGCCATAAAAAAATGTTACTATTCGACTCGTGGACAGGATATTGCCCGAGTCAGTTAGAACAGTTGATTCCACAAGATATAAAGTAAAATTTTCAACTATTCCAAAAAACGACGGGTTTCATTCAGCCTTTAGATGTGTTTGGATTCCGGATTTGGAAAAATTTCGTACGAACATTTTCTGATAATGTAATTCTTCAAGAGAAAGATGTCACTTTGCATTTGCGTAATGACATAATTAAATTGCAATCACTAACCCATAATCAGTTTTCTTCGCCCAGATTCAAAAATCTTTTCCAATACACTTGGTTTAAAAGCGGCTATCTAGAAACGCATCCCGGCGAATTTCAAAATCCTGTAGATTTCTGTTACTTCAGGGATGAAAAGCATGTACCCAAATGTAGTATTTGTGGGATGGCCGCTTTTATGCGTTGTGCATGGTGTGGCGAGTATTTCTGTTTTAAACATTTCTAGAAGAATATCATTACTGTACCAATTACAATCCATAATTTGTATCTGCCGTTTTGTGCTTGTATAACTTTTCCAATGTATAATTAAACAATAAAGCATGTACAAAAAGTGAATACAAAAAAAGATGTGCGTCTCGCTTAAATAATTTAAAGCTGTTTGAAATTTATATAAATAATAATTTAAATATCGATTTATGAAACCATTTTAATAATTAAAACTGCTAAAATAGACTTCAAATTCGATAATAGAGATTTTTTTATTTATTTATTTTTTTTTATTTATTTAAAAAATAGAACACATATATTGATTATGATGTATGAAAAGAGGTTATGGAGAAGTATTTTTGCATAAAATTACAAAGTACAAAAACTCAATTTTAAGGGTATTGGTGAGGGTAACTCGAAAAACTTGGATTTTTCGATAATTATCTGTACGCAGTTCTGTAGACATAAAAAAGAGGTGCAATTTTTGTTTAAACTTTTTTTCGATATCTCTTATCGTTCCGAAGTAATTCCAAAAAAAAAAATCTTAATTTTTTTAAGGGGGTGATTCACCCTCTCAAAGTGTAATACGGCACGAATAAAAAATAGTTTTGTGTTACGGATGAACTACTCTACTTGCACGCTAAATTGCAGAATTTTCTGAATTTTTGGGTTGCCTAACATTCCTTGTCAGTCCCAGACAGATCTGGTAGTGAGTTTGGATTGCAGTCGATGTTATCAATCACCATAAGTTTGGTTACACGCCTTTTTAAAGTGGTTTCTGGACATTCTTTCGACAACGCTCTGTGTTCGCCTCCACAATTGATACAGTTAGGTTTGGAAGAGCAATTCTGATTTGGGTGCGGTTCCTTACCACATGTTAAGCACTTAAGTTAAGGCACTTAAGGCTTTTTGCAAAATTTGGATGCATGACTTAATTGTCCACAATTGAAGCATTGTCTTATGTTTGGAATGTAAGGAGCCATTTCCAATCTTGTGCGCCACATGAATACCGAGGGCGGAACTATCATGGACCTCAAGCTTAATTTGACCGTAGGTGAAGGAATAAATTCCGTTTGGCCGTTTACCACAGATCTCGACTTGAGCCTGTAAATATCTTCCTTGTCGAATGATAAATCTGGGTTGCTTGTTTTCAGTTCGGTCCAGATTTCGTCATTAGGAACATCTGTTGGTATTCCCTTAATCACCACTTTGCGGTTGATAAAATACCAAGGGATAGATGCTGTGTACTTGGATTTAATAAGGTAAATATTTTTAACAGCATTATTTGCCGATGAATATGATGAGAATGATATAATTCATTTGTACCTACTTTGCTTCAAAATTGTGGAGAAGTTAAGACCCATTTTGAAAAGAGCGCGTGAAACCTCTACATCCAAAGGCGGTCTGAGAGCATTTTCACTGTCCGTGATTTTCAGAGAAACCTGTACCTTAAATGGCCCTTTGTCTTTGCGGGTATATTTAATTTCTTCAAAGAGTTTGTTGTTTCCATTATTTGAGTTGGCTTGGGATGGTACTTGGTCGTTAGAAGTTGTAACCGATGGAGTAATACTGGATTCCACCGGTGAACCAGGTATTGTATTATTTTTTTTTTGCCGTTTGAGGTGATAATGTCGATTTTCCACTAGGGAAAGAACGTTTCGTTCCTTTTTTAGTTTTCATTTTGCCGCTCGCTTCTTCCTTCAAATCGTCGACCAAAAGTTCATAACTGTTGATCGTATCGAGACTGTCGTTATATGGATCGTCTTGTTCAATTTCCATGACTCTATCAGAGTCCGATGCGGGAACCGGGGAAGACAGCCACGTGTCCTCCCGCGGCGACGGGTAAGGTTATGTGACCCTATCCACCGGCATACTTATAAGTGTAAACGCCGACGGAAAAGACAAGGGGGTCGATTCTGTATCTAAAATATAGTGAAAATGCGAAAAGTGAGTAGCTCGCGCGATTCAGTAACTTTCATCATAGTGAAAATGTGTGCTATCTCACGGGAGTTTGTTCGGCAAGAAATTTCTTGTCGAATGGTGAGATTCGAGTGAAAAAGACTGAGAAACGAGAGAGAAACCATAGCGTCGTGACAATTTCATAGATGTCCCAGACAACATGCAAGTCCTAGAGACGGCCGAATGACGTCTTTTTTAAGACGTCTTTCTGACATTATAAAAAGACGTCCTAAGGACGTATCTTTGACAATTTTTTGAGACGCATTAAGGATTTTTAAAATAAGACATCTTACGGCCGTCTTTTGGATAATCTTTTTACGACGTCTTAAAATATTAGAAAAAAGACGTCTGTCAGACATTTTTATATGGCAGTTTTGAGACAATTTAATAATTTTTGCATAACAATAAATGCGTTCATAAAATCACCAGCACAGTACTAATTGGTTATGATTCATACAGCGTAATTCCGCTAATATAACGAGCACCATAAATACAAAAAATATTTCTAATATTAATGTTGCTTATCGGCAATATATTTTTCATATTTATGGCACTCACTATATATATTTGCGGAATTTCGTTGCATGAATCATAATCAATTATAGACTTGTGTTGATGATTTTACGAACGCACTTGCTACGTGCGCGCTCCTTGCGGTCTTGTTCGCGGTTCAGCGTTGCGCCAGCGTTGTTACGGCCATTGCATTCTCGCCATCGCCATGCACATTCTCGTCTGGACGATGGATTCGGTGAGTTTGGTGTGAAGCATTGAGTAAAAAGAAACAGGAGGGAGCATATACTAGCCAGGACTAGGTAAATCCGCGGACGGATGTACGTCATGGCAGCCATCTTGAGCGACCACTCTTTGAAAGTGAGAGGGAATGCTCGAACACAGCGGCAAGCGGCATACCGTACGCCGTACGCATTAATATGCAGTGTAT